CAAAGACCAACAAGTACCATATTTTAACGTCTTTTGGTATGACCCGGTCGGGATCGAACCCGCGACCTTCCGCTCTCCGGGCGGACGCTCTAACCACTACACCACGGAGGCGGTCAAACACTGTTGTGTGTCAAACTTACCGTTGTATCTAGATACAAACACTGTTGTCTGACAAACTTACCATTGTATCTAGATACAGTCAAACACTGTTGTGTGTCAAACTTACCGTTGTATCTAGATACAGTCAAACACTGTTGTATGTCAAACTTACCGTTGTATCTAGATACAGTCAAACACTGTTGTGTGACAAACTTACCGTTGTATCGAGATACAGTCAAACACTGTTGTGTGTCAAACTTACCATTGTATCGAGATACAGTCAAACACTGTTGTGTGTCAAACTTACCGTTGTATCGAGATACAGTCAAACACTGTTGTGTGTCAAACTTACCGTTGTATCGAGATACAGTCAAACACTGTTGTGTGTCAAACTTACAATCGACATACAGTCAAACACTGTTGTGTGTCAAACTTACCGTTGTACTGAGATACAGTCAAAACACTGTTGTGTGTCAAACTTACCGTTGTATCGAGATACAGTCAAACACTGTTGCATGTCAAACTTACCATTGTATCGAGATACAGTCAAACACTGTTGCATGTCAAACTTACCATTGTATCAAAGTAAAAGCTTAGTCCCTGTATATTCCTAATTGAGTCATCAATTAACGGTTATGTCTCACCCAAAGAAATTAGGTAGGTCCCTTTAACTTTGACACAATGTGTTCAACTGGACATTCCATCGGAGCTTTAAATCATGATTGATTCAAAACAGACCAAGCTAAACTTAGCCTTCTGGTAAAAATACACCATTCTACCATGAATCAAGAAAATACTAGATTCTGATTGGTTGTTCAGAAAAATCAGACGGCATCAATTGTGGATTGACGCTCATCTGATTGTAAGGCCGCTTCACCGCGCATTGACAAATCTTATTGTGAGAACTACTTCCGTTTGACCACAATGATGGCGGATCATAACAACAACTCCATGGATTTTGACGCTGACTTTCGAATTTTCCACACAGGCAATTGGAAATTTTTGGATTAAAAATGCGTTTGATTTCATTGCGCTTCACTGCGCCGCGTATAGAACACTGCCGCTTTTCTACTTCAGCTTGACCACCAACATGACTAATATCAACACAACAGACGTGATGGAAATGCTGATAAAACATTTATTTAAACTCGAAAAATACAGTTATATGATTTCCCCAACAATTATGAGGGAACTTCACTATCATATTACCTTCTATTATAAAAATATTCAAACTCAATTACAATACACAGCCCCAAACATAAACAAAACAATATCTAACATATAAATCAGAAAGCCTTGTAAACATACATCCCTATTTATACAAAATATGCAGCAAAACATTAAGTAAACATTTACCTACCTGGTAAATGGTATATTTAATTCCGTTTAGAATGGGAAATTTGCAAGATAGATCTAACGGTCTGGCGAAAACACCACATTTATGCCACTCATAGCCATACTCCATCATATCCCGTTGCATCGTTCACAAAATAATTCTGCTCTCTGCCAGTTTCCCTCGCTAGGTTGTCACTGTTATGTTCATCTACTTTGAAAACGCTTGGACACAGCCCAGTCCCAAACGATGAAAACAAAGTTCCAAGGAATCACAAGTTAGTCGCATGTACAATAAGCAGCAGTACTGTCACTCTTTTGTCGCATGCCGGGGTGGAGGCAGTACATGAAATCATGATCGGCCGGTCATAAAAATCAACAGTCTTTGATAAGTTACAGGTCGTAGGTTGATCAGGAAAGGATCTATTCTTCGATTCTGCAGGGTTCAGATTCAACAGTCAGTCAAGTATTGTCCACTGTCACTTCAATTTCAACCTTTAAGCAAAATGTAAACAACACTGGCTCGTCCGCCATTTCAAACTGTTGCGTAACTGTCTACTTCCAAGAAAATAAGTAGGTCAGACGATTTCATTATAGTGTGGCCAGGGGGGTACAGTTTCACGGCACACAAAACAATAGGCTGGTTTTAGTCGTGTGGAGTTGGTATTACTCGGGTATTACCTAATTGCATTGAATAAACAGTAGTTTGATTTCTTTGGACAGAATATTGTTATGTTGTAATGTTAACAAAATACGAACAGCATCTACCGCTCCCTTCACAGACGAGTTCAATTCGCCCTCGTCCCATGGCGGATTACGCAGTGTCTTCCGCAGAGCCCGAGGAAGTTCGATTTTAAATGGGTCATGGTAGAATGGAGATAACCCTAGTGTGTTTGAAAATCAGAGACAAGCTTTACTGAATTGATGGCGACTAAATATTTCAATTGAAACCTCACGCTACGCGTTCGGTTCCAATTGAAATTTAGTCGCCATCAATTCAGTAAAGCATGTCTCTGATTTTCAAACACACTAGGTTTATCTCCTAAATGATCTTGAGAAGTTTTGCATGAAATTTGAGATGAAGGTGGTGATGACACTTCCTGAGGACACTGTAGTGAAGAGCAGATCCAGGGCCCCCGTTTCACAAAGCTATTGTAGCACTACGACTGTTGTTAGTCTGTGTTACTGTATAGGAGATACGACAGTTGTAGCCCTGTAGTGAAGAACACATCCAGGATGTTTAACATCACAGAGTGGAGAAAAAATACACTGCATTCTCATGGTCATCTTAATGTCCAGGGATGGACGGACGAGTGAGTGAGTGAGTGAGTGACTATGGTTTTATGTCGCTTTTAGCAATATTCCAGCAATATCATGGCGGGGGACACCAGAAATGGGTTTCACACATTGCAGTTGGGATTCGAACCTGGGTGTTCAGCATGACGAGCTGACGCTTTAACCACTAGGGTACCCCACCACCCCATATGTATTCATAGAGTAAAGCATGTACTAAAAAACGCAAAATCAATTGTGGATGGTGTTTGTTTCTTGTCAAGGGGTTGTACTGACTTATCCCAGTGCTTTTTGTTGCAGAAGGGGAGAGTCCCACTACACTGAAAGTATGTAACACTGGGAAACTGTCTTACGTTTCACCCAGTACAACACCAGCAAAACAGGAAAACCTAACTCAAACCTATGTCGAACCAAAGTCAAACCTATGTCGAACCAAAGTCAAACCTATGTCAAACCAAAGTAATTTTAAGTCAATCAGATCACACAAGAAGGGAGTCAGTTTATAAGCATGACTATATTCACAACCATGAAGTCATCCCATGTATTAAAAAATATTTACAAAATTGTGAGCGAGTGAGTGAGTATGGTTTTACACCGCTTTTAGCAATTATTCCAGCAATTCATGGTGGGGGACACCAACAATGGGCTTCACTCATTGTACCCATGTGGGGAATAGAACCCTGGTCTTCAGCATGAGAAGCAGATGCTTTAACCATTAGGCTACCTCACCACTCCTACAAAATTTGTGAAAAGTTAATTTCTCATTTGGGAAGTTTTACCCACACTTGCTGCAGACTTGGTGCCAAATATTGGCCTCTGATCAGGTCTATATTTATTCCTTCAATTCCTACAGATTAATAAATATTTTTTATAAATGAAACATGGTCGAAGCCATATGTTCCTTGTTGATAAATAAGCATAGAGAAAGCATACTGAGAAATAATGAAGCAATAATAAGTAATTTGTTTCTGTTTCTGGAGGTTTAAGAAATATTTATCATACACTTGAAAGTCAGCATGAGAAACAGCGGTGTGCATAATGCTCTATAATTGCTAATCCTGTAAATGTATGCACATATTAATCCAGAACTACAGATAACTGGGGTCATTGAGTTCGGAACCCGCTTGTGGTCATCTCAATTGGGTATCCTAATTTTCCTTTGAGTAACCAAACAAATTGTACCCACCTCACTCAAACTCAATTGGGTATTTTGCCATTTTCCATTAATTGTAAAAATATGATAAAACTAAAATGTTGGTTTACATGTTTCTTATTGATATTTGATCTGTAAAATGAGAAATGATAAGAAAGACTGCAAGTTGCCATGTGCTGAAATGAACCTCAAAATATACCTCAGTTAGTTTATCTATCCACCGGTATGCAAGCTAAGATTTGACATTTTTGTGTGTATGCGTGTAAGATCAAATTTCCTGAGTATTTACAAAAATTCAAGTGTACTTGTACGCAATAGACTTAATAGGAACTGAATTTTCACATAAATATTTGCGTAATTTACGCAGATACGCAGCTTATCTGTACCTCTGTTAAACATTCTTGTATGAACTATATTCATGGAGATTAATAACTGTCTTCTTTGTTTTTGTATGTTTAGCTAAGAAAGCACACAAAAATATTCCCGATATATGATAGCAGCTCGTCAATAATCAAGTCGGGACCAGATAATACAGTGACTGAAATCATGAGCCTACCATTTGGTGTAGGTGGGGGTGGTGGTGGGGTGGGGGTGTTGTACTGGGTGTGCCTACCACCCCCACCCTCTTTTTTCACACACCAAAGGGTAAGTTAGTATAACTATATAGAAAATGACAGATATGCATTAATTATCAGACATATTTCAACTAATAAATGTACTACAGGCAAAGATAAGACATGTCCCGGGTTGGTATACCTTCATTGTTCAAAACACGTTCCACACGGACAGCGGGCCCATTGGATCGACAGTTAACGCGTAATGGGTCACCTGTTCTGCATTTTAAGCATGTAAACCCCGTGTAACTACTTTAATTGTTTAGGCAAATTGGGGTGTTTAGAAAGGGGCGTGGTCGCAGTAGCTGAACGTACACATAAGGTAATGATGAGTGCGGGGGACAGGGTTCAGCGTTCATCCTCGGGAAACACTTTCCAACCATCCACGTATGCAGTGGGTTTTGACTGCATCGACACACCTAAACTCACGTTCGGGACGCTACACCTGCCCATCAAGCTACGGTACTGCAAATAAATGCTAGTGACAACTAGCCCAACCAGCAACATACCAAAAATTCCTCAACCATCAACACCTTGCCTTCTTGTCCATTTCTCGAGATCACTTCAGAGTTGCTTCCCTTGAATCTAGTAGCTTTTTGTTTATTTTTCATCTGTGTTGCAGAGATACTGTATGTGTGAAAACTTTCGTAATTTTTTGACCGGTATTAACTGTAATCTATTTCTTCGTGTTTCTCGTGCAAGGGCCTTAGGTTGCCCGACCCAGTGATCGAAGTGTCAACAGTGTCGCGAGTTGTGGATGAATCCATTGTGATGTATTTCTGTATTGGGTACCCTTCCCACGAACATGCGATGAAAATGTGCCAAAGGAACCAAGAGCGCATTCTTGGGTTAAAAATACATTAACCTAACACACGTGTAGAATTTGTTGCACACCAAGTCACTTGGCGTACATTATATTATGAGTGCGCGCAATTGACAAATAACCCATGGTCCCTACAAAAGAAATGAACTGCTCCATTGAAAGGCGAAAATAGAAGAAGGTAATTTTTGACGACTGTTACGCACAAAGTGTTACTGCTGCTAGATACTATATACTAACAGGAGAATTTGATTTCCGGAAAAGGAAGTATTTGGGTAATAACCCACGGTGATCTAATGTTCGGTGAATGCTGACCCGACCCACACTTTCTCAGTGGGCGTGCTACTCGAAGCGTGACACTTCCAGGGGATTGGATACAGGACGATGGCTGACAAGCACCTGCTGTAGAAGAGTCATGGCGTACAGGTGAGATGTCCAATTCGGTGTCTGTCTGATGGTGGGATGCATATTGCTGACAGTGGATTTGTGTTCTGGGCTGCTTGTGGGATCTATTAGGTAAGGGTAGTAGATGAGGACACGGAGAGTTTATTAAGGGCATGGTAGTGACAGCTACCTGATGTCTTCTGATCAGCCAATTGATAAACAAGTTACTTAGAATCAGCATTTCAGGTTAGACGTGTCATTAGTTACACAAACATTGCGGTGCTGTTCAGTGGGTCTAGTACACAAACATCGTGCTGCTCATCAGAGATGCATTTTGTACATCATGATGATATTGATGTTAATGATTAAAGGATAGTTAATGAGTCCATGTCCTGTAAGTAGTTAACACATGACAGCTTTGGGTGACAAGAGAAAGAAATATGGCCATACAGTCACTGTTTCAGATATTAGACGAAATAAATTTTAAAAAACTTGAATTTCAAACTACTGTTTTTAATGTTTTTTATTGTTTTCAATGAAAAAGTCAATTATGAAAAGACATTATGATTGAATAGTGAATTGCAGCTTCAAGCTAAACCTTTTCATGATAACATAAAGGACTTGTTGGTGGTCATGAAATCTTAGTGAGTGAGTGAGTATGGTTTTATGCTGCTTTTACTACTATTCCAGCAATATCAGCAATGACATCAGAAATGGGCTTCAAACAATGTACCCATGTGAGGAATCAAACTTGTGACGAGCAAACGCTTTATTTAGGCTACTCCACCACCATTGCCAAACTAGAAGAAATTTAAAAGCAAATCTACCATATTTGTTAAAAATAACTTTTTGAAGAAAATCTCCTGTTAACCTTGTATACTGCAATAATCAGGTTGGGGAAACCTACCGATCGGCCTATAATAGGCCAAACGGGATATCATAGGCCGTTCTGCCTATTTTGCTATAGGTCGATCGGCCTATAATTATGATACTTATCAAATATATTTGAAGTGGTGCATTTCTGCATGAGGATATTAACATCATTCAGGTTGTGATGTCCTAAGGTTTTCATTCAAACCCATTTTGAGCATTTTCATTGCATAATAAAGGAGTTTGGAAATTAGTAATTGATATAAGTCTATAATATTTTTGAAAATTTTCACTGAAAATTAATGACATAGATATTCAGTTTTAGTTTTCAAAAAGGAAAATCTATGCAAAATTGTGTTCTTAATGAAACATCTTTTCCTGAACATGATATAAATTTTCCATTTTGTCTAAAAACTTATTTTTTTCAAGCTGAGGAGATACATTAACTATTCATCTCTATGATCATATTAAACCATTTCGTGCGGAAATTGATAGTTTGTGAAATAATTAGAAAAATGTTCAAATATAGCCCGGTCGGCCTATAGCAAAATAGGCAGAACGGCCTATAATATCCCGTTCGGCCTATGAATATAGGCCGATCGGTAGGTTTCCCCAATCTGATAATTATTTTCAAATATTTGGAGCTATCATTTGATAAATATAGAAAAATTAGAGCTGTCAACCCTGTTTGATTTGATTTGTGAGTCACATAACCGGCTGGTTACAAAAGAGTCTATTTTCACTTTGAATCATTATGAGAATGAGTAACAATTCCTGGGGAACTGTTCTTGTGGTTATTTATAATGCAGTGTTGTTCAATGCATGGAACAGGTGCGTCATATATATGGAACTGTCTCAAGGAAGTATTATAATAGAGTGGAGTTGAGAACATATTCTCCGCACATTCTCTTTTCATTCCTGAAAATGATATAATATTTAATAAGAAACGTAATATCTAGATTAAGGGTTGTTACTTATGATAGAGAGGTTGGTGGGGTAGTCTTGTGGTTAAAGTGTGAGCTCATCATGCTGAATTAACCCAGGTTCGATTCCCCACATGGGTACAATGTATGAATCCCATTTCTGGTGTCCCCACCATGATATTGCTGGAATATTGCTAAAAGTGGCGTAAAACCTTTCTTAATAATAATAAGAAGAAGAAGAAGTCATCTTCTATAGCGCAAAGTCTCCAAACACCAAGTGATTGCTCGGGGCGCTTAATCAGAATCTGATTATTATTACCCCAATAACCCAAGCTACCAGTTAGGCGCTAGAAGGTTATAATCACATGACTTTATCCAACCGGTACCCACTTTCTGCTGGGTGAACAGGCAATTTTGAACAAGCTCACTTGCCTAAGGTGAGACCACATGCATCACATGTGCTTCGTTGTGGGGCAGGACTGAAGTCCTAGAAACTCTCAGGAGTCAAGCTGCCAAACATGGTCACCAATCCAAGGAATGTCCAAGCTGGATGTTGTTGAACTTCAACTGATTCATGACCTGAGGTCTGTGCACAGGACCACTTACTGCTTATGATGGACCTTTGCATATATGTTGATATTCTGTTTTTAGTGATTGCAGCAAAAGAAACATCTAGTTGTACATATATTATTCACAAGACATAGATTTTGATTAGCATTACTTGTAGGTGTATCATTAACAGGTCCTCATTGTCTGTGTATATAAACATGTTTTTCATTTTGATGTTGATAAAATAAGTTCCTAAAATGAGTCTTTGAAATATACCATGCTCTTAGTCTATGCAATGTACATATGATAATAATTGGTCATTAACCTTCACATGAACATCTTAAACAAGTAATTACAATGTCATCATTATTATGCTGAAAATCATTAGTTATTTTTTTACTTATTCTAAAATATAATGCATTTACTGAACTAGAAACGAATTTCATCCACAACTAATACATAGAGAAAGATTATGTTTTCAGTCAAGTTGAAACTGGTTGCTATCATAATGTGTGTTTAATGAGACCTTGTGGTCTCCATGGTTACATATGCATACATTGATGTAGAAATGAGATATACATGTGCATTGCTGATGGCATATATATCACATTTTCTCTTGCTTCAACTATTATTAATCTTTGAAGAAACTCCTGGTGTTTAAATTTGTTTTTGTTATTAGCTTTTTTATTTGCCGTAACATCCACTATTATATGGATAGAAACTTGATAATGCAGAAATAGGTGGACATTTTATGACACTGTGTCAATATGATAAAAACATATGCATTTCCTGTTAGATGGTTAGGAATATTTTTTCATAATAAAATATTTGTTATAAATTTTTAAAATTTTCATATGTTGTGGAACATGATGAAAGCCACGCTTAGCAATTTTCTAGCTCTGTATTGGTGATCTGTAATTAATCAAGTCTGGACAGAACAGACCAGTGATCGACATGATGAGCATCAATCTGTGTAATTGGGATACGATGACACTCAAGTTTTGAAAGCAAAAAGTATTTGTTTTACTAGACCCTGGAATAGGCTGGAACACCAGACTCTTAAACATTTGAGGTGACGTTTGAAACACCCATCTATAACCCATTCGTAGCTCACGGAAAATATCTTCTTGCAAAAATGTTTTACACTTTGAAAGATTTCTGCTGGTAGCTAAAGAGTAGTTTGTCACAAAACTATACACAGTGTCTGAGTACATTTGGACACAATGTCCTTTGTATGTTTCAAAAGAGAATAGGGTAGATTTTGCTGTCAATTGTTTCGAAGTATTGTTGTCATTTTTCGTTTTACTGTGTATGTCAGTGTTAGAAATTAAAACTAACTTGCCTTCATGTGACTTGTAGCGTTTTCAAGGGATAAGTATAATGGACAGATAGTGTCTAGTGCTGGGTTTGATCTCACAGAAAAATAAGTTTTAACTTCTGCATCAAAAGTTTATTGTTCATATTAAACACTGCCCTCAGCAATATTTCATCTATATGGCCGCAGCTTGTAAATAATCAAGCCTGGACTAAACAACTGTAACTGATATCCATATTTGGCACCCATAGGACTTAAATTGTTGCTCACAGTATCTGTAGGGGTGGGGTGGGGGGTGGTGGTAGCCTAGTGGTTCCAGCGTTCACTTGTCATGCCAAATACCCAGGTTCGATTTCCCCACATGGGTACAATGTGTGAAGCCCATTTCTGGTGCCCCCCCTGTCATAATATTGCTGGAATATTGCTAAAAGCGGCATAAAAGCATACTCACTCACTCACTCACATATCAGTCAGTGGGCTGTCATCATATAGCCTTAATAATGCTGAGTGTGATGTGAAATAACCAACAACATTCGGGCATGTAAGGTGAACCACAAAACAGATGACATGCTTTTGATAACTCTCCAGTTGAAGTTTTTGAAAGGCAAAACTTCCAGTTGTCTACCAAAACAACTGTCCAGTCAATTGTTGCATCGAGCTTCCCTATTTCCCCTCTGGTTCAAACATTTAGGTGAAATATTTATTTACCATTAGACAACAGAAGTTTAGATTTGTCCCTGCTGTCTGTTCGAGATATCATTAAGTCACATCTGTGTGGTAAAAATGGTCTTCGTTTCTTGCATCATCAGTGTAAATTGGCCAGGTTGTGGTTGTTTATACACAAATGTTTGCGGAGTCTGTTCCTGAACTACAGTGTCCCAGCTATCAGACAAAGGCTAGTGTAGTGGCCAGATATGTCCCTGTTGAAGATGATGTAACCTTCAGTTACATAACAAGAACAGGTTGCACATCTATTGTTAGTCAAGTGGAGGACAGCATGTCTTCCTACAGTTAATAATCACCATAGTAAGGTTGATCATACAGATTATGTGCCTCTGATAATAGTTGTTTGTACGACTGTGTTCACAACTTAGCGCTTGTCTGTGTTGTCCTTGGTAAGAGGGGTGGTGGGGTAGCCTAGTGGTTAAAGTGTCCTCTCGTCACGCCACCAGCCAGGGTTCGATTCCCAACATGGGTACAATGTGTGAAGCCCATTTCTTGTGTTCCCCACTGTGATATTGCTGAAACATTGCTAAAAGTGGCGAAAAACCATATTCACTCACTCACCCGTGGTAATTTGAAGGTGTTTTCAGTGCACAGAGTTAAAAAATGTGAAACCAAAAACTTGCTCCTATTCAAACTGATAGCCATAGAAAGTGACAGAA